CCTCTTCTGAGCGGGAGGACACCTATCTCTTGTTTGCAAATGGACTAATCTGTTTTTAGGCTGTTTGCTTGTGACCTTCTGAAAACTGGGTCTCAAATTGAGAGATAGGGATGCACCTTTCTCACTTTACCTCCCAGTTCCCTCTGATGTTTGCTGGATGTGATCTTAGCAAAACACCGTGCATCTGGACTTAGGGATAATTTTGTGTAATTTGATAAACACATAACTCTTTTCCAATGAGACATCAAGCCATGCAAAAAAGAGACTGGGAGTAAAGTGGGGTTGGAGAAACATGGGACAAACAGGGCTAGGCACAGTAATAAATATTTACATAACTTACTCAAAGAGTAAAGAGAGAGCTGGGGAGGGGAGTAACTTTAAAAATGTCAAATGTGCGATGCACAGATAAACACTTCTGCAATAGCATACTTTTATTGTGCTAATAACTGATTGTTTGGATAATTCTGGGCTTGCCATTATTTATCTGTAAAACTGTGCTCTTTGGTCCAGGATAAACTGGGAGAAAATAAGATGTTCTAAAATGCCACAGAGGTAGCAACATCTTCCTCCTGTATATCTCAAATAGTGTTAACCTGATCTTGTTTTTCTTGTAGGTTCTGATGGGAATTTTCCACCTTGGGTTTGTATCAGTATATCTTTCTGAGCCTGTGTTGGATGGCTTTGCCACTGGTGCTTCGTTAACTATTTTAACAGCTCAAGTTAAATACCTCATTGGAATAAAAATCCCACGTACCCAGGGATACGGGATCCTGATAACCACTTGGGCTAACATTTTTCAGAACATTTCTCAAGCAAATCTATGTGATGTGATCACAAGCACTATCTGCATTGTTGTGCTGGTCACCGCTAAGGAACTGGGAGATAAGTATAAACACAGGCTCAGGATCCCTCTTCCCACAGAGCTGGTGGTAATTGTGGTTGCCACCCTGGTGTCCCATTATGGGAAGCTGAAAGAAGTTTATGCAACCAGCGTATCAGGTGAAATTCCTACTGGATTTATACCACCCCAAGTGCCCAGCTTTCACCTTATGCAAAGAGTTGCTGTTGATGCTCTCCCACTTGCCATTGTTGGCTTTGCTTTCACGGTTTCACTCTCCGAAATGTTTGCCAAAAAGTATGCCTATACTGTCAAGGCCAATCAGGAAATGTTTGCCATTGGCTTCTGTAATATCATTCCAGCTTTCTTCCACTGCTTTGCCACCAGTGCAGCTCTAGCTAAGACTCTGGTCAAAACATCCACAGGGTGCCAGACCCAGGTATCCAGCATTGTGAGTGCAGTGGTTGTACTGCTGGTGCTGCTATTCTTCGCTCCCCTCTTCTTCAACCTACAGAAATGTGTTTTGGCTTGCATCATCATAGTGAGCCTAAGAGGAGCCCTTAGAAAATTCAAAGATATTCCTCAACGCTTCCGCCTGGACAAAGTAGATGCGCTGGTCTGGTGTGTTACCATGCTCTCATCTGCCTTGATCAGCACAGAAATGGGGTTGTTGGTTGGGGCTGTTTTTTCAGTCTTCTGCATTATTGGCCGCACCCAGTGCCCACATGCTGCCTTGTTAGGGCAAATCGGGAACACTGTCTTCTATGAAGATGATGGGGAATATAAAGACCTTCTTCCAGTTCCAAAGATCAAAATCTTCCGTTTTGAAGCACCACTTTATTACGCAAACAAGGACTTCTTCCTAAAGTGCCTCTACAACAGGACAGGGCTGGATCCTGCACTTGAAGTCGCCAAAAGGAAAAAGTCCAAGAGGAAAGGACAACAAAATCAGGATAAGCAACTTGGACAGAAAGAAATGTCACCATGCTTGGTGACTAAGGACAGTGACTTTCATGCAATCATCATAGATTGTTCTTCCATTCCATTTTTGGACACAGCTGGAGTGAGCACATTAAAAGAAACACTCAAAGACTATCAGGAATTGAAGATCAGTGTATATTTGGCCTGCTGCAATCCCTCAGTGATAGCTTCCCTGGAAAAAGGAGGCTACTTTAAGAGCACAGACAAAGACATGCATGAACTGCTGTTTCATAGCATATCTAATGCTGTCCAGTTTATGAGAGAGAGAGAAATTACAACAGATGACTCTGTCGTCTAGTCCAATAATTGGCACTTTGGAGATTCTCTGTTCATTATGCAGAGATTGTGGTTTTCAACATGCCTGGACCTGAGTTCTTCCTTGAGAACCATTTGGTAATATGGAATACACTCGCAAAGCCTTTCCTTTCACTAAGCAGTGAATGTGTAACCCCAAAATGAATCTTAATCAAATAAAGTTAGACATGGTCCACTGTTCAATGTAACTATAAACAAAACCAATTCTGATCTACCTCTGATCATTGTTTAGTGATTTGACATCCTGCCACAAGCTCCCGTGTTGTTCTTCCTGTTCTTCATGCAAAGGAAGGAGACCAAAAGCTTCCATCCTCAGTGTTGAACAAAGCAAAGTTTGCCATTATGTTCAATCTCAAGGAAATGTGATTTATACCAAGTGTTCCTGTGAACAAATAAGGTTCAGGGTGTAGTTTCATACTGTAGTTTGTTAACTTGCTGCAACTTATTTTCATAATACTAAGCCATTATTTAGCATTATATCTGCCTCAATATATGATGCAATTCTCTTAGGTCTTCTTTAATGAAGATCAGGTGTTTCTTTCATGGGGTCTTATACTTGTTTTTCTTTTCAAAGTTTCATCCAGCATGGGGTAAATGAAAGCTCTATTTCTTGATTTGATCTTGACGGTAATCAAGATAATGGCAAGGAATATCAGAAATTATGTTCAGAAAGGATAATTTTTTAAAAATCAAATAGCCACACAGAGACAATAGCTTCACTTACTTATGTTGGAGGTTCTTTGTTGGCTAAACTGCAGAGCATTGGTAAGTCTTCTCCCCAAACGGTATTTTAAATGTGTGTCCTATCAACCAGAACAGCTCAAAGCATTTTGGGATCAAAGACAAAATTACAATTGATGCCCTTTACTATAGTGGAAATAGTCTTGCTATCTAGGGCATTTTAAACAATAGCAGAGAAGACTGAACTATATTTTTAATAAACCATAATTATTTTGTTTTTGAGGGCAGGAGAAGATAAAACAGCTCTCAAATCAAGCTTAGCTCCTGATAACTACAAGGCCCATCCTTGTGGTTTTCTGGGCAACAACAGAGACATTATTTGCCATTGCGTTTTTCTGGAATGCTTTTTCAACTTACCAGTGTAGCCTATAGCCCTGAAATTCCCTGGTGGTTTCCTATCCATATACATCAGAAGAAATGAACTGCTTATACTTCTCCTTTCATACATTTTTAAAGTTCCTCTTTCCTACATTTTGTCAACTATGCTGTATTTATTGGTCTCAATCTTCCCTTCCTTCACAGAATTCACTAATACTTATAAGTATTTACTAAAAGCCCTTTGTGTACTTCTACAAAATACATCATATGCGACACCCCTCAATAGTACAAAAAATGATTAGGAAAATCACTGTACCACACCCCACAAGGGTTCCTGCCCAGTATTTCTATTTTCCCCAATGGATATCCCCTGTTGCTTTACAAGGAAATAGTACTCCATCTTCAAAGGGGCTTCAACTGAAAGCCAAAAAAAGTTTAGTAAGTTGAATGTGTCAGTTGCAATAGATAAATTGGTATTTTCTCTGAAAAACTCTTAAATACTCTGCATACCACATGTATTTAAGGAAACCTTTCTATTGTTTCCTCCAGGGATTCATACCAAAAAAAAAGTTACAGTTCTGATACCACCCGATGTGTTCTTGCAATTAACTCACTGTTTGAAAATCTCTGAACTGGAAGATAGTTGCTTCTTTGAATGAGGCCCACAAATTGGAATGTTTAATTAATTTATTTTTTTAAACTGTTGATTCAGGGGCCATCAGAAGGCAGTGTACCACATAGTTCTTCATTACCTCTTGAAGCAAGTATACATAAATTCTACAAAAAACTAATTGCAGTTCACAAATCTGCTTATTGGCTTGTATCTCATACTAGTGAGCAAATTTAAGCTCCTCCAAGTATCCAACTTTCTACTCAAGTAGGCACAATTCAAAGTACCATACAGAATCATATTGAATCAAAGAGGCAACATGGATCATTGTGTTCAACCCCTACTCCTACTCAGCACAAAAGTCCAAATAAAAGCATCCTTGTTAGCGGGCTCTCCAAACTCTGCTTGAATACATCTAGCAAGGGGAATCTAGCATCTTCCTTGGTAATCATCTGCAACATCACATTTCACATTTCTCCAAATACAAACCTGCACCTATCTTCTGAGCCGGGAAATTGGAAGGTTAGGGAAGAACAGCGGATTCCTGTCTTAATTAACATGTTTTATCTGTCTGGCTTGCACTATTCATTGAAGACCTTCTCACTGCTTTGTCATCTTCTATCAAAGCCAATCCAGGGTGTGACCACAGAGCAGCCATATAAGTCTGTTTTTCCTTGGAAACAACAGAGGAATCTCCTCTTTCTACTGTATTCTGAAAGCATACCTGACCATCTTTTGACTTTATAACCACAAGAAAATACATGCCCATGTTTCACCAAGGGATTTCACATGCAAGGGACATTGAGGTATTCCTTAATTATTCAACCATAACATCATCTTTAAAGCAAAAAAGCCATCCAAAGCATTTTCTAGGTAGCCCTTGTAATAACCAACCAGGCCTAGTGCAAACTGAGATGTTATGCTTTAGAATATGCTAAATGATCCCTTATGAATATGCATGCTAGGGAGCCTTACAAAAACATATTTCAAGAAACATTGCCTGGTATAAGCAATCCTTATTTTGAAAAGCTAGTTTTTCCTCCAAAACCAGCATGGCTTACAAATGTTTCCCAAGCTGTCTCCTAGCCATGCAGTTTATACGATTAGACCTCCTTTCTTTAGTTCAGAAAAACTTTCTGGCCACCTATACAAACCTAAAACAACCACAAATGAAAGAGAGTAAAGAATTTAACTTACCCAGCTTGTATAAGTTCCAGCAGCCAATGGATTCGAATTTGTTCAATACCATTTTGTGGCACAGAAGAAATATAAGCCAAATTAATTATTTGGTCTTTACTGAGATTAAACAAATCTGCTCGCCTGTGTGGTAGAGGAGGACTGAAAAGATGAGAAAAATATATTACTTAACATAGTACTTTTGAGAGCTCAAAGTTCCTCACATCAGATATCTTAGCAATCCATATAACAGCCTTATAAATGGAGTTTTCTTACTAGCTGGCAGAACTCAGATACAGGTAGTCCTCACTTACCAACTGCAACTGGGACTGGCAACTCCATTGGTAAGTGACGTGATTGTAAAGTGAAAAATCATGTGATCTTGCCCAACTTTTTAAGTGAGTCCCCTATGGTTAAGTGCAACATCACGTGACCACAACTTGTGACTTTCTGCTGGCTTCCCCACTGATTTTGCTTGTCAGAAGCTAGCTGTGAAGCTCACAAATGGTGATCACATGACAGCAGGACACTGTGATAACCGAGACTTTGAGGACTGGTTATAAGTCTCCTTTTTCGGTGCCTTCATAACTTCAAATGGAGTGGTTGGTAAGCAAGGACTACCTGTAATCCCCATAGACATCCTCTCAATCCCAATCGACACCTGCACAAGAGACAATTGAATGCCCATGTACAAAGTCAGACTTCTAGAGAAGAAAAGTTTGGAGGAGAACTCAGACAGAAAAGGGGCAAGAAATGGTGTGCTGAGTTAGGAACAGGGAATCTCTCCAGCCTCTGATAAAAAGGGGAAAAAAATTACAAGAAGTTAGGAGAGAGAACAACAACAAAAAAAGCAAAGACTTTAGCTTCAGCCAGCAGGAACAGGTAACAAGTTTAGTTAGAAATAATGAACAAGATTATTTTTAAAGGTTTTGATGTTTATTTTCTCTGGTGATTATTCTATGCAAGCCCAGTCCTTGTCTTTTCCTTACACAAATTGGCACTTTTTACATCAGTGTTGCTTTTACATTAGTAGCAGTTCAATCTTGTGATTTGCTCAGAAATTTATATCGTCCTAGATATTTTTTTTTATTGTAGGTTCTTTTCAGATGCTGTTGTGTCTTGAATTGTTTTACATTTTTATTCCCTTAGCTAAGGAATTTGAGTATTTTAAAAGATATTTAGATTTCCATTAAAAAAAATAAATTTGCATTTATTACATCACAATACAATTCACTTCTAACCTATACAATCTACATTTTGCAATATTTACAACAGCAGCAAAGTGGCAGACTGTCAGCTGAACTGCAGTGCATAAAAATATCCACCACTGTGAGTCTAGCATTGCACGGTACATGTAAAAAAAAAAAAAGTGTACTTTTTTTCCAATCATGATTTCTCATGGAACCCCTAAGTGATCTCTTATGGAATCCTAGAGTTCTGCAGAAACCCAGTTTAAAAAGGCTGCCCTAGACATGTGCACTAAACACTACAGGGGCAAGAGATGGAGCTATAGGATTTCCACCCTCTTTTTATTCCCCCTTTTAGTTGCTAATAGCATGCAAAGATTGTGGTACCCTTCTCTCACACTTTTAGTCCTGTGAGGTAGTCCAGAGTAAGAGGCACATCAGGAGCACTAGCTCTATCTTTATTGTAAGGTAACATTAACAGAATCATGCAAGTCTGAAAGTATTTCTCCCCTCCTTTCCTCCTACTCTCCAGAAAACTAGGGAGGGTCCCTTCTGAAATGCTTCCCACGCCCTCCCTCCTTCTGTGGGCTGAGATATCTTTTACACATTGGTTGTCTAGTCTGCGGCTTTCCCTCCTGTCTCCCAAGGTCATTCCCACATACTGTTACACATACACACGTTGAAATTGGGGAGGGAGAAAACACAATTAAAGGCATCCCCTTAGAAAGCAAGTAGTGTCAGCAGTAACTACTGCACACCAAGGCTGAAAGGAGTTACATGAGGTAGTCCCAAAGGATTCTGAGAGAGAGGTTTAAGCCCCCCAACCTTTCACCCTATGTACTCATGTTTTCTGCTACCATTAGGTAGGCCGGTATTACTATTTACGTATTGTAAAAAGAGGGAGAGTTGCATCAGATCATGGGTTCATGGTGTGAGATTTTGAATCAGGTATTTCTGAATTCATAGCTTTTTTTTTCACAATACAATTATGTTTTCTTAAAGAAATAATTCTTGCTATAAGTGTGTTTAGAATTGCAGTCTAACTTCAGGGCTAAAATGAATTGTATTAAATCTTATTTTGAGCATTGTATTCACAAATAAATAATATTGAACCCATTCACACAAAAATACACATCACCGACTAATCTTGAAAAGCCAGAGGTGCGTATTGTACAGAAGAATGCCTATTTTGAGTGCCTATGCTTTATCTTACTTTTGTATTATGAAAAGAAGGTAAGGGAAAACTTTAACTTTGTGAAGTTAACTGCAAATATGTAAACAATTTGACTTCGGTCCGCTGACTTGAAACTACAAACCTCATGACTTTAACTCTTCAGCCTAATCTTTTGAATATCTTCTTCCTTAAGACTTCTTGTCTTCATGTGCCAGAGGAAGAGTTCTGCAAAACTCCACTCCTTGCACAAATTAATAGGCTGCGTTAATTTGATAGGCCCAGATAAAATTGTGATCCGGTTCTGATTAGGTCTGTGGCTGACAGGATCGCGGATGGAAAAGGATGCGCAATACATACTCCGCTTTTCCCTCTTTCCTGTGAAAACCTTGGTGCAACCTCCACAACTATTGCCCAATCCGAATGGCTCCGGATCGGCCGCAGCTGCGTCCCACAGTATTTGCGCCAACGGGCCGACAGCTTGTCCTCTCTTAGCCCGTCATTCCCGAAGCCAGGAGATGCTCACGCGCTTTGCCTGCCGACTTAAGTGTCATGTGTGAATGGCGTCACTGGATCAGCAACCCGTCCTTTCTTACCAATATCCCGTGCTTTTCCAAAAATGCCTCAACTCGCCTGTGGGGCGTGAGAGATCCACGTTTACATAGAAAGCCCCCGCGGTCGCTTTCATTAGGATTAGGCTCAGTAACCCCGAAAAACTCCATGTTGTACCCGACTTCATACCGCCACGGGTCTGAAACTCCACCGCCTCCCAAGCTGCGCTTTGCGCCACGCCCCGGCACGCTCTATTCCTCAAGCGGGGGAGCAAGTTGGCATCCAAACGGTTACTAGCTTCTTTTTCCTACCTTACGACCCAATTGCTACTATGGTGAGTTGTTTGGTTGAGGAAATGGACGCTGGAGACATCACTGCCTCCTGTTTTATTCCATAGTTGCCGCCATCATATTCCAACCGACCCCCCCCCTTACAAAATGTGGTCGTTCCCTCCTTTTTACTTCCCGCTTTTCCCCTCAGCGGGCTCGCGTTTCGCCCGAAAAGCAAACGCGCGGCTACTGTCCGATGCCAAGGTGAAACTTGGTTGGATGGGCTTCCTCGCAAGAAAAGCGATATTTACTGGAGTAAAGAACCCCAGTCAGCACAAGGGACGTGTTTCCGAGGAAACTGAAAGATTGAAAACAAAGGCTGCCATGTTACAGTCCATTTGTTGCGGCGAGCGATTCATTCAACTCCATGACTCGCCAAATATTAGAGGGTACTTAGGTGTGAGCAAGTTGCGTGCATAGCTCACTCAGCTTCAGAGATAACGTGAAATACATACTTATTTAAATAGGTAGTACGCTTAATTTATACTATACACGCACTCGGTATGTATAGATCACTCTACAGTGTGTGTGTATATTTACAAATATACACAGCAGCCGAGAAAAACAACACAGTCAACAGGTGTTAATGTCTTTAGCTTAACCCCCGGCTGCCTTAGCTTCCTAGAGCACGGTTCCTCAACCTTGTCAACGTTAAGACGGGTGGACTTCAACTCCCAGAATCCCCCAGCCAGCATGGCT